CTCCCCGCCCTCGTCGGACCGGGTCGTTATATTCTCCCCTCCCTCGAGCACAGCGTCCTCGCTGTGGCCCCACACGCGGTCGAGAGTCGGCTCTGATATCACATGTAACGACCTGGGTCCCACTCGCAAGATATTATCCGCTTTGAACACTAAGTCCTCACGATTTTGTTCCTCCGAGAGCAGCCCATACTACTCCCAGAAAAGGCCTCTTGCAAGTTAAGGTTTCCCAAGCCTTTATAAGAAAGCTCAAGGTTCCCTCCCTAGGCGATGTGGGACTAGAGACATGCCCGTCCTTGCCATCCTAGAAGTCTGCCGGAAGTCGCTCCTTGTCTAGACCCTTTTGGGTTCGAAAACCACTCCCCGCCCTCGTCGGACCGGGTCGTTACATTCTCCCTTCCTTCGAGCACAGCGTCTTCACTGTGGCCCAACACATGGTCGGGAGTCGGCTCTGATACCACCTGTAATGAACTGGGTCGCACTCGCAAGATATTGTCCGCTTTGAACATTAAGTCCTCACGGTTTTGTTCTTCCGAGGGCAGCCCATACTACCCCCAGAAAAGGCCTCTTGAAAATTAAGGTTTCCCAAGCCTTTATAAGCAAGCTGAAGGCTCCCTCCCTAGGCGATATGGGACAGGAGACATGCCCCCCTTGCGATCCCGGAAGCCTACCGGAAGCCGCTCCTTGTCTAGGCTCTTTTGGACCCAGCGACCACTCCCCGCCCTTGTCGGACCGGGTCGTTACATTCTCCCCTCCTTCGAGCACAGCATCCTCGATGTGGCACCACACGCGGTCGGGACTTGGCTTTGATACCACTTGTAACAACCTGGGTTCCACTCGCAAGATATTGTCCGCTTTGAACACTAAGTCCTCATGGTTTTGTTCCTCCGAGGGCAGCCCATACTACCCCTAGAAAAGGCATCTTGCAAGTTAAGATTTCCCAAGCCTTTATAAGCAAGCTCAAGGCTCCCTCCCTGGGCGATGTGGGACAGGAGACATGCCCCCCTTTGCCATCCTAGAAGCCTGCCGGAAGCCGCTCCTTGTCCAGGCCCTTTTGGCCCCGACGACCACTTCCCGCTCTCGTCGTGCCGGGTCGTTACATTCTCCCCTTCTTCGAGCACAGCGTTCTCGCTGTGGCCCCACACGCGGTCGGGAGTCGGCTCTGATACCACCTGTAACGATCTGGGTCCCACTCGCAAAATATTGTCCGCTTTGAACACTAAGTCCTCACAGTTTTGTTCTTCCAAGGGCAGCCCATACTACCCCCAGAAAAGGCCTCTTGCAAGTTAAGGTTTCTCAAGCCTTTATAAGCAAGCTCAAGGCTCCCTCCCTAGGCGATGTGGGACAGGAGACATGCCCCCCCTTGCCATCCGAGAAGGCTACTGGAAGCCGCTCCTTGTCCGGCCCTTTTGGCCCGGGCGACCACTCCCCGTCCTCGTCGGACCGGGTCGTTACATTCTTCCCTCCTTCAGGCACAGCGTTCTCGCTGTGGCCCCACACGCCGTCGAGAGTCGGCTGTAATACCACCTGTAACGACCTAGGTCCCACTCGCAAGATATTATCCGCTTTGGACAATAAGTCCTCACGTTTTGTTCCTCCGAGGGCAACCCATACTACCCCAAGAAAAGGCCTCTTGCAAGTTAAGGTTTCCCAAGCCTTTATAAGCAAGCCCAAGGCTCCCTCCCTAGGCGATGTGGAACAGGAGACATGCCCTCCCTTGCCAACCTAGAAGCCTGCCGGAAGCCGCTCCTTGTCCATGCCCTTTTGGCCCTAGCGTTTACTCCCCGCCCTCGTCAGACTGAGTCGTTACATTCTTCCCTCCTTCGAGCACAGCGTCCTCGCTGTGGCCCCACACATGGTCGGGAGTAGGCTCTGATACCACCTGTAACGACCTGGGTCCCACTCGCAAGTTATATTCCGCTTTGGACACTAAGTCCTCACGGTTTTATTCCTCTGAAGGCAGCCCATACTACCCCCTAAAGGCCTCGTGCAAATTATAGTTTCCCAAGCCTTTATAAGCAAGCTCAAGGCTCCCTCCCTAGGCGATGTGGGACAGGAGACATGCCCTCCCTTGCCATCCTAGAAGCCTGCCGTAAGCCGCTCCTTGTCTGGGCCCTTTTGGCCCCAGCGACCACTCCCCGCCCTCGTCCGACCGGGTCGTTACATTCTCCCCTCCTTCGAGCACAGCATCCTCACTGTGGCCCCACACGCGGTCGGGAGTCGGCTCTGATACCACCTGTAACGACCTGGGTCCCACTCACAAGATATTGTTCGCTTTGGACACTGAGTCCTCACGGTTTTATTCCTCCGAGGGCAGCCCATACCACCCCCAAAAAAGGCCTCTTGCAAGTTAAGATTTCCCAAGCCTTTATAAGCAAGCCTAAGGCTCCCTCTCTATGCGATACGGGACAAGAGACATGCCCCCCCTTGCCATCCTAGAAGCCTGCCGGAAGCCGCTCTTTATCCAGGCCCTTTTGGCCCCGACGACCACTCCCTACCCTCGTTGGACCGGGTCGTTACATTCTCCCCTTCTTCGAGCACAGCGTCCTCGCTTTGGCCTCACACGCGGTCGGGAATCGGCTCTGATACCACCTGTAACGACCTGGGTCCCACTCGCAAGATATTGTCCGCTTTTGACACTAAGTCCTCACGGTTTTGTTCCTCTGATGTCAGCCCATACTACCCCCAGAAAAGGCCTCTTGCAAGTTAAGGTTTCCCAAGCCTTTATAAGCAAGTCCAAGAACCCCTCCCTAGGCGATGTGGGACAGAAGACATGCCCCCCTTGCCATCCTAGAAGCCTGCCAGAAGCCGCTCCTTGTTGAGGCCCTTTTGGCCCTGGCGACCACTCCCCGCCCTCGTCGGACCGGGTCGTGACAGAACCAGGGCAAACATTTTCTCAGGTACGATGAATGCATCTTTCTCTGTTTTCGTTGGTCAACAACCAACCTCATAGTTGTTCATCTTTTTTAATTTTAGACCTTCCAGCTGTGTATAATCCCGCAAGGGGATTTTCACATCGAGAGCACCTTCTTCATGGCGAACCCTGCACCGGCACCGGCACCGGCACCGGCACCGGCACCGCACTCGCACCCGCACTCCGCACCTCGCACCTCGCACCCGCACCCGACTGACCGACCGACAATGGCACACCGCACCGCACCTGACCGCACCGGTTGTGGAACAAGGGGAAAGGGAAAGCAGCAGTAATGAAGACAGTGTAGTCAGTATAGACTGAGTGGAGATAGACAGGATGGAGGGTAATGTTAGGCAACAAACTCTATCTCACACTTCAACAAACCCCTAGCTAAAGACAATTATTTCGGTTTCTTTTCCACCGCCTTCATAAGGCTTGGTCTTGTTGCTTTTTTTTTTCTGGTTTCTTTAGATTTCACGGGTGCAATGCAGCTCATGTGGACTTGTGTTTTGCGGTTTGTTAATATTGACTAGAGTTTATTAGTTTTTTTAAATGCCGCATTGGTTCTCGGCTAATTCTGTCAACTCCAATATGCATCCATTATAGCAGACTTGCGCGTAAAATTTTCAGCATGTGGAGGCAACGCTAAAAATACATCAACGCATCGAAAGACCAGCTATGAGGGAAGCCTCCTGATTAGAATGAATTTGCCGAATTCTGGTTTCTGCTTTGTCTGGATGGCCATACTTTTCCCCCAGAAGAAAGTGACCGGTTCATCGGAACAGGTCCCTTCTGTTGTGACTGCCCAAAAGAAGAAAATTTCACCACTCTGCACATTTTTTAACATTCACCATCTTGTCTGGAAGCGACTTTAAAATTCAAACTCTTTGTTTGTTTCGGCCGAGTTTTTAGGATGCCTTCGGCTGGGGATATGGTAATATATGCAGATAATGACTGTCTTGCCGATTCAGTCTCTGTATCCGTGACCCTTCTATGTCCTTCACTACCCAAATTACTTGGAACGAGGACTTCACAACTCTCTCCACTCCAAACACTCGGAACCTTGTTTACATTTTCGCAAATTATTCTATCATCCATATGTAAAGTGCTAACTCCATCATCTTGACTTGCACTGTCACTGCTTTCAACTCTTGCTTGAGTGTTTTCACTCTTACCATGACTCTCAATCATCAAATTCGCTTCCCTAGAGCCTAAATTGTTCAGTCTAGGCTCTTCCACATCAACACCTATGCGGCCATTCCTAGCCTCTTTGACTATCGGCGTACAACATAGTGGACGATTCTTATGAGACCTCAACCAAGTATCAATGCAAGGGACATGAAATGCATGGCTACACTTGGGCAAAAGCCGGAGATTCTCGCCATCTTCGAACTCACCGAGACAGACAGAGCACTCTGTCCCTTTGATCAGCCCTTCGCCCTTCTTGTACTCGAAAGCCATAACAGAATCGATGATGGATTGATCGAGGCCAATCGTGCGAATGAACCCTATCGAGTGGTCTAGGGGCGGTCCGTGGTCTTCATCCAAGAACTCTTGCTAGGTATGAAAAAGAATCGGTGCGTCGCTTCTCCTCCTTGAGCTGTTCTGCTTCAGATAGTGCTTCACTAGGATCAAATAGAGGATCCCTATCAAGAGAACAGAGCCAAGACAATAAGGTATGATGCTTTTGCTATCTTGGAGCAGACTCTTGCCGAATTTGTGCTTCAAAGGAGGTTGCGGCAGCGGAAGCGGAAGTGGCAGCAATGGTGGTGGCATTGGAAAAGGAGGACAATTTTCGAGAGGTTTAGGGTCTGGGCTCTGATTGGGTGAAAGCAGAAGCTTTCTGCGAGGAAAAGCCATTGAGCAAGGGATGGACCATAACCGAATAGAGGGGTGGTAAAGAATTTTCAGTTCAAGCGAGAGTTTTTGAACAAGCCCTGAAAGGAGATGTTGACCATTTGGAAAATAAAGGCGAGAGAGTCGTTTTCATGGAAGACTCGAAGCATTTACTTGGCGCGTTCGTCTTGGCGTTTGTTTTGTGGGTCAGATACTCGTTGGAAAGGACAAGGTCATGACTCTGTCATCGAAGATGACGGCTTTTGGACAAGCCCTGAAAGAGAGTTTTTTACTGTTTGGAAAAATGAAGGCAAAAGAAGAGAGTCGTTTTCATGGGAAGACTTGAAGCACTTACTTGGCACTTCCGTTTTGTTTGTTTTAGGGGTCAAGTGCTCAATGGAAGGGCAAAGTCACGTCTCTTTATCGAAAGTATTTCATGCGTTTATGTGATGCGTGGGTTGGGGCTATTGCTTCTAGCAAAATAATCTCTTTTAGCAGTGTCCCTCTCTCTCCTATTGTTTTGCTTCCTTGACATTCAGAGGTGATAGCATAGTCCAAGAGATCGAGTGAGTGCTTAAGCACTTAATTCAAATACACTAAGCTTTGTGTTTGAATTAAGGCATTTTCTTCTTAGAGTAATCTTGTTGGCCGTAAACATCACCCTTTGGATGGAGAGATACCCGATGCATGCGAACTTAGCGATTTCCAGGCATTCGTACAATTAATCGAGCCGAAGGTTCAGATACCCGTATCACTTAAGAAAAGGCATGCTAGACAGCATTTTGTGCTGACTTTCATGTGTCTTGGTATGGTACAGGTCATTCACCGAGAAAATTCCAGGGGAATTAGTTTTGCGTGACTTGATCTCATGAGGTTGTTTTGGTGAGAAATTAATTCGAGATGTAAAGCGTAAAGTTGGGCGGTTCTCGTGACTTTTGAATATTACTCTGCGAACTCAGACTCATGTAAACTTAATGGTAAACGGCGTCAACTAAATCACATCAAAGTGGAACACTAGGACAACTAGTCAAGTTGTAGAGATAAGTGTTAGGTCCACCTATTTACCTATTTGATTTTTGTGCTAGTGTTCTATCACTGATAATAATCAGCTCCCTTAGTCACCCCCTCCATCAGCCAATGAAGTGATGGGAGAAGGAAGAAACGAAACAAGGACAAGGTCCCCTTGAAAATGATGGTTTTTGTAACGACCCGGTCCGACGAGGGCAGGGAGTGGTCGCCGGGGCCAAAAGGGCCTGGACAAGGAGCGGCTTCCAGCAGGCTTCTAGGATGGCAAGGGGGGGCATGTCTCCTGTCCCACATCGCCTAGGGAGGGAGCCTTGGGCTTGCTTATAAAGGCTTGGGAAATCTTAACTTGCAGGAGGCCTTTTCTGGGGATAGTATGGGCTGCCCTCGGAGGAACAAAACCGTAAGGACTTAGTATCCAAAGCGGACAATATCTTGCGAGTGGGACCCAGGTCGTTACAGGTGGTATCAGAGCCGACTCCCGACCGCGTGTGGGGCCACAGCGAGGACGCTGTGCTCGAAGGAGGGGAGAATGTAACGACCTGGTCCGACGAAGGCGGAGAGTGGTCGCCGGGGCCAAAAGGGCCTGGACAAGGAGCGGCTTCCGGCAAGTTTCTAGGATGGCAAGGGGTGGCATGTCTTCTGTCCCACATCGCCTAAGGAGGGAGCCTTGGGCTTGCTTATAAAGGCTTGGGAAACCTTAACTTACAAGAGGCATTTTCTGGGGGGTAGTATGGGTTGCCCTCGGAGGAACAAAACCGTGAGGACTTAGTGTCCAAAGTGAACAATATCTTGCGCGTGGGACCCAGGTCGTTACAGGTGGTATCGGAGCCGACTCCCGACCGCGTGTGGGGCCACAGCGAGGACGCTGTGCTCGAAGGAGGGGAGAATGTAACGATCCGGTCCGACGAGGGTGGAGAGTGGTCGCCGGGGCCAAAAGGGCCTGGATAAGGAGCGGCTTCCAGCAGGCTTCTAGGATGGCAAGGGGGGCATGTCTTCTGTCCCACATCGCCTAGGGAAGGAGCCTTACGCTTGCTTATAAAGACTTGGGAAACCTTAACTTGCAAGAGGCCTTTTCTAGGGGTAGTATGGGCTGCCCTCGGAGGAACAAAACCGTGAGGACTTAGTGTCCAAAGCGGACAATATCTTGTGAGTAGGACCCAGGTCGTTACAAATGGTATCAAAGCCGACTCCCGACCGCGTATAGGGCCACAGCGAGGACGCTGTGCTCGAAGGAGGGGAGAATGTAACAACCCGGTCCGACGAGGGCGAGGAGTGGTCACCGGGGCCAAAAAAGGCCTGGATAAGGAGCGGCTTCCGGCAGGCTTCTAGGATGGCAAGGGGGGCATGTCTCCTATCCCACATCGCCTAGGGAGGGAGCCTTGGGCTTGCTTATAAAGGCTTGAGAAACCTTAACTTGCAAGAGGCCTTTTCTGGGGGTAGTATGGGCTGCCCTCGGAGGAACAAAACCGTGAGGACTTAGTGTTCAAAGCGGACAATATCTTGCGAGTGGGACCCAGGTCGTTACAGGTGGTATCAGAGCCGACTCTCGATCGCGTGTGGGGCCACAGCAAGGACGCTGTGCTCGAAGGAGGGGAGAATGTAACGACCCGGTCCGACGAGAGCGGGGAGTGGTCGCCAGGGCCAAAAGGGCCTGGACAAGGAGTGGCTTCCGGCAGGCTTCTAGGATGGCAAGGGGGGCATGTCTTCTGTCCCACATCGCCTAGGGAGGGAGCCTTGGACTTGCTTATAAAGGCTTGGGAAACCTTAACTTGCAAGAGGCCTTTTCTGGGGGTAGTATGGGCTGCCCTCGGACGAACAAAATCGTGTGGACTTAGTGTCCAAAGCGGACAATATCTTGCGAGTGAGACCCAGATCGTTATAGGTTCCATGCGGAAGAAGGTGCGTCAGAGTGCTTGAGCGGTTCGACAAGAGGTTCGAGCTCCTCAGAGGCCTTAAGAACTATCGGCTGGAGATCTTCAAGGTGAACCCCAGTACCTTCGTGCTGCCTCACCACGTCGATGTCGATTGCATTCTCGTTGTCTTAAAGGGTTAAGTCACTAGTAACTTGACGTTCACCAATTTAGTTTCTAGTGGCTGTCAAACGCTGTGTTCTTTGCTCGTTGAGATCCTTGGAGATCGAGAGGGCCGTTGCAGTTTGACATTGACTGGAAATTTGGCTTACGATGTTTAAATTATTTAGTCAGGCAACGATATTAATCGATCGTGTTCATTTCTTACAGGAGAAGGGACTATAAGTTTGGTGTGGCAAGGAAAGAAAGAGTCTCACCACCTGGAGCGCGGGGACGTGATCAAAGTTCCTATCGGAACTACCGTTTACTTCGCTAGCTGTGGTGGATCTAACGAACAAGTTCATATCGCCAAGCTGATTCAGCCCGTTAATACTCCCGGCACATTCGAGGTAGTTCGGTGGACCAGTATTAGCTCGAGTAATTTTCGCTTCTCGATCATTATATTAGCCTCGCTTTTGGGAAACTAGAAGTGCAGAATCATATTATTCTCCTACCATAGTTACAAAAGATTAAGATTGTCTCGAATAGTTTACATGAAATTATGAAGGGCACCTTGGGTGCTGAACACTTAAACCAACTCTCTGCAACAGCTATTATGAAATAGTACAGTTCTTGAATTTGTGAAGGCTAATAGGAGTGGTGTATTTCGACCTGGTTGTTCTGTTACAGGAATTTTACCGTGTTGGTACCAAAAACCCGGAATCATACTACACGGTCTTCAGCAGCAAAGTTCTCGAGAGTTCTTTGAAAGTAAGTTCATTTTCTTGATAGTAAGTTGATAGATGTATTATATCAGCAGAGCCAAGAAAGTATATACGCCTGTTTTTATCTAATTCCATCAAGTTCCATGGTTAATTTCCCCATTTATCAGACATCAAGAGATCAAATAGAAAGGCTGTTTGGGCAACAGAGGTAGGGCGTGATCATAAGAGCCAGCGAAGAGCAACTGCGGGCACTGAGCGAACACCGTGGCAGGTCGAACAAGAAAGGCCACGGCTCGAAAGGTCCATTCAATTTGCTGGGCCAGAAGCCAATCTATTCCAACGAGTTCGGCCGGTTCTTTCAAGCCTCGCCCGAAAAGTTCAAGCAACTTCAGGACTTGGGCGTCTCTGTAACTTTTGCAGAAGTTAACCAAGTAAGGCATACATTAGTATAGTCATTGTCGTACTTCCATTGATTTTAGCCTAACTGTTCATATGGTGTAGCTACGGTTTATGTCTGACTTTGGCAGGGTTCAATAATGGTGCCGCACTACAATTCAAAGTCAACGACAGTGGTGCTTGTGGTAGAAGGAAATGGATGGTGCGAGATGGCTTGCCCTCACCTAGCGCTAGCGAGGCAGAGGTGGGGCTCCGGTGAACAAGAAGAGGAGGAGGAGCAAGAGAGCGCAAGGAGGATGCGCAAGATACCAAAAGGTAAGCATAATTTCGGTAATGCGATTCCAAACCAATAAGAGAGAGACCTCACTCCATAGCATACTCTAAGACCATACAACAGTTTTGGATAGCTAATAATCAACTACACCGATAAAAAGACGGGCAAATCAAAGTAAAGAGTAGCTCTGGAGGTCAAGTAATTAAAGATATATCTTTGGCTTTCGTTACAGAAAGATCAGTGTGTCATATTGCATTTTGTCCAACCTAAATGAGAATCCAATTATAGGCAATGATCCTAGAATTGATTGATTAAAAGAAGTGAACGATGTAGAATTCACATTCGACTGTCGAATGTGCTGCACTTAGAGGTGTTAGAAATATTAAAATTGTTTTTGTCTTTAATACAAACTTGGTCTTCAAGTTTGACAAACTTGATCTTCAAGATGATACAAACTTGGTCCTCAAGTTTGATACAAACTTGGTCCTCAAGTTTGATAAACTTGGTATTCAAGAAAATTTCCTTAGGAGTAGTATAAATAGGTTGTCCCCTCCCTATTTGTATAAGTGTGTGTGGAAAGCTATAGAAAGAGAGAGTTGTGAGAAAAAGATTATAGAACTAAGCTTGTATTCCTCTATGTAAAGCCCGTGCAAAAGGCATTTTGAATATTATTCTCTCTCGTTTGTGTATCTGTGTGCTTCTCACCAAAATCATCAAAGTTTGCCTATATCCTTTTTTTTGGTTCCTACAAGAGGGTGATGCGAATGGCTTAAGTCCAATTGTATTAAGTGCCGTGATTTCCAATAGTTTAAGTTTCTTTCTGGTTATCCGTCAGGTAACATCCGAACTGTCACCTGGCGACGTTTTCGTTATCCCGGCGGGTCACCCGATCGCCATCATTGCCGAGCAGAATGAGAATCTGAGAATGGTTGGGTTCGGAATCAATGCTCATGAAAACCAGCGAATCTTCCTCGCAGGTGAAGTCTTACTCTACCATAACTGCTCATCGTCAGGACTTGTTTCACTTTTAGGGCTCATTTCGTGAGATCTTATGCAATGGAACCAAATTTCTTGCAGGGAAAGAGAACATAATCAGCCAGATGGACAGAGAGACCAAGGAGCTGTCCTTTGACCTCCCCGCGAGAGAGGTGGATCGCATTTTCGGGAATCAGGAAGAGTCCTACTTCGTGTCCTCGCAGCAACAACCTCGGAGCGAGCAGGGAGAGCACCGCGAAACTGAAGGATCAGGACGACCCCGACAGAGTGAGCGGATGGACGAAGGCGACAATGAAGGGTCGGAAGGATCGGCGTTGTCGACTATGGCGGCGTCGGTACTGGACGTGGCGGGCCTTTCCTGAGGAGGAAGTACAGGGAACTAGAGGGAGGTTTTGGCCATTTTCTTTCCTCGGCGGGAGGAGAAGATGTGAATGTATGTAGAGAGAGAGAGAGAGAGAGAGAGAGAGAGAGAGAGAGAGAGTTGAAACTTGAGCAATGTTGAGGAAGCATTAGTAGCTTCCAAATTGTTCATAAATAAAAGCCAGACAAACTTGGTACAATCTTCAAATTGATCACGCTGACACACAAATGCTATACTCAAACTAGTCAATCATAGAAATTCAAAATGACAAGATGGATCACCACCTCGAGTGCATTTCATTTTACACATCGCGGGTGACACGTAATCCGGAAAACGAAGAAGAAAACAAAGCAAAACTCGTGGAATGATGCATGACAACAAAGAAAAGGCAAAAACTAATCGTGCGATTCTTGAAATGGCTCCTCCTCCTCCTCCTCCAGGGCTGCTGTGGGGGGCGAGCTCCTTGTAACGTTGATCTTGGCGTGGTCCGTCAAGGCACCATGTTCAGTTTGGCTGCACACAAACACCAGAAACGCATGTCATCTTATGCTGTGGTCGATATAGGGAATGGACCATGGCTCATCAGTCATGGGGGGGCTTGTTTCTAGAGCCTAGGCGACGGCTTGGTCTCGCCCGAGACTCATCGGTCAAGATTAAAGCGCCCCGACATTCGCGTTTCTTCATCCGAGGGGGCGACAAAGAGCCGGCGATCAATGAAGTGCCGTCGAACAGCAAGTTGCGCGGGGAGAAAGAACAGGGTGGGAAATTTCAGTTTGTGACGTTTACCCGCGGTCTCCTGGGCCATGCAATCGCTATCGCACTTCATTTCACAGAAGGTGTTGCCGTTGCCTTCCCCTTGGCACGTCTTGTGACAATCCACGAAGCAATTCTTGTACGCGTCCATCAGGTCCCCGATACTTCCGCCCGTCCCGAACATCGCCGCCAGGACGACGCACACGATCAGAACTCCGGCTACTTTGCTCGCCATCTTTTTCTCTCTTTCTCTCTGGTTCGGCTTGTCGAGAGCTTCGGCTTCGATGTCCCTTAATGTTCTTCTTCTTGAATTCTTGCTTAGTGGACGAACGAGGGGAGGAAAGATCAGTATTTATAGCGATGGAATTAGATGGATTGAGCGATGACCCTTGAAGGAAGGGATTGTTCTTGAGCTTGTGGTGTGGCCTCTCCATCGTTTTCTATTGCCTATTTTTAAGGCCATGTTTTGACCGTGCGGTGAATGATAGAGAGAATTATAAAAACAAAAATACACTTTTGTTGCCGATTCATTCATAAATCTTCTAATTTTATAAATTGAATCATAAATGTTTTCACATTTTACCAATTGAGTCTATTCGATCAATTTTGATTGGAAATTGATGACGTGGAGACTGTCATTCTATATAGCACGGTCAACGCTAACGTGGACATTTTTTTAATAATGTTTTTCAAATTTTTTATTAACTTTTATTTTCTTTTCTTGTGCTTGTTTTTTTACACCTTTGGCCGACGACTCTCTGGCCCTCGATCTAGCGATGGTGGGCCTGCAACCATGGGCGAGGGCCACCCTCAACTGTTGGCCGACGAGGGCTGTGAGCCCCTTGCCTGTGGCCATCGAGAGCATCGACCTTATTACCCCAGATCAGGCAAGGGCATCGACTCTTGCCCTTGGCTAGCAAGGGCTATGATACCCTTGCCCAAACAAGGTGAGGGTTGCCGACCCTCGCCTATGGGCAGCTACCTTCTCGGGCAGAGGTAAACAAAAAATATATATATATTTCAAAATATTATTAAAAAGAGATTAATGTTAGTACCGGTTGTGCCACGTAGATCGTCGGCATCCATGTCATCAATTTCCAGTCAAAATTGGCTGAATAGGTTAAATTAGCAAAATATGAAAAGGTTTATGACTCAATTGATAAAATTAAAATATACATTACCGAATGAGGTTTACGACTTTTTTAAACAATTTTCCCACGGACAAATGGTTGATTCGAGATGGGCCGACATAAGAAAAGCCCAACGAGCCCACACCGAAACCTCCTCCCTCGGAGGGCCGAAATGACCATCCTGCCCTCGTCCTTTTCTCGAATTCTCCACCTCCGCCCCTGAAGAGGCCATTTGCGATCCGAAAGAGAACCTGACTTGCTTCTCAAGCTCACACAGACCGTCGTATAAATCACCCACCAAGCAGCCTCTCTCTCTCTATCTCTCTCTCTCCATCTCCCTCAAGTTCTCAGACCAAAACAGCACCGGAAACCACCGCGACAGATCCGGGTCCCGACGACCAATCGTCGTAGGAAGGAGAATGGAGTGCGTGTTCGGCTTGGTCGGCGACGGGTTCGCCATCCTGGTCGCCGACACCTCGGCGGTCCACAGCATCCTGGTCCACAAGTCCAACGAGGACAAGATCATGGTCCTCGACTCCCACAAGCTCGTCGCCGCCAGCGGCGAGCCCGGCGACAGGTCGATCCCTGCCCGCCCGATCTTTCTTTATTCTTGACCGATCGTGTGTCCGGATGAGCCTGCGGTCCGGTGATTTTTTCGGGGTAAAGTTCTCGTTTTTTTTTCCCGAGTGTTATGTGACGATTCGGTCTTCCGCCGCAGGGTCCAGTTCACGGAGTACATACAGAAGAACGTGGCGCTGTACCAGTTCAGGAACGGGATTCCTTTGACGACCGCTGCCGCCGCCAACTTCACGCGGGGCGAGCTCGCCACTGCCCTGAGGAAGGTGGGTCTTCGTCGAGCTTCTTTGTTGAGGAGTGATTTTGGATTGAACTGTTTGCTTGTTTCATTTTTTCCAGTCTGAGGTTCAAATTGTTGGGATTTCTTTGGTTGGTCTGGTTGGTTCTGATAGAGAAATGGGAATTAGGGTTTTTTCAGTGTGGAGGTGTGGCATGGGTTTACAGCCAGTCATTTGTGTTGAGGAGTTTTGGTGATTGAAATTACTGAGCTGTGCTTTTTAAAAGGGGAATTTTTAATGTTGAAGAATGGTAAGGTTGTGATATGGAATGCAATATAGAGTTGATCCCGGGGATGATCATGTCTAGGATGCATTGGAAAGCCTTGACTGCCAAAGCAATAGGCCTGCATAACGCATTTAAAGGTCATGTCGACCCTGTTTCTGTATGTAGATTGAGTGGGTTTTGGAGCTGCCACTCAGCGAAGTTTCTCAGATCAACTAAGCGCTTTTGGGTTTTTTCCCATCCATTTCAAAAGTTAAATATCCGTAATATATTCTAAAGCGGATAGTTTTTGAGTGCTGATCATATTGAAGATAATTGTAGCCTATTAGGTCGACAACTGTTTTAACGAGTTTGCTTGTCATTCGTGGCACTGTTCTTTTCTTATGAAGTGGGATTTGAGGGTGTTCAACCAACTCCTTCCTTTTGTCGAAGAATATCTATAGAGACATTTATAAGAAAACAAATGGTCGATAAGGACATATAGGCTTAGTTTATTCATGAATAGTAGTATAAAGTTCATATACAACAGAAAGTTATCGTCCTAGTACTGCGGTGAGAAAAGAACTGCCTATCTTCTGCTTGCTTCGGACAAAGGGCTTAAGAGATGCTCACAGTGTGAAACACCTGTTTATTGGTGAGAGTTTGGTAGTATAAGAGCTAGCAAGTAGCACTTAGCAATTCTATAGTTTTAGAAGCCTCTGCCCAATAAAACCTAGCCTGGGAGAGAAGTCATCCTCACAGTGTGGATAACAAGGTCTCACGAACCTGGTAACCATATGGTAAGTCCTACAACTTGAAGAACAGAAAGCCGTACTTCTTTTAGCAGGGGAGAGAGTCATGCGGAAGGCTGGGATAGCATTTTATTTGCTCGAGTAATGGCTCAAGCCTAATAATACATAATAGTAGACTGCTTGTGCCTTCGCTGATCACATCAAAAGTTGGGGTCAGCTTTTCCACTTCCTCTGACCCATTTTGGTTGGCTATTCTAAGCCTTCTTTTATTCATACCTGCTCATACAATCATGTTGGGTGAGCAACAGCCGCTTCCGTTTTTTCCCCCGCCATTTAAGTTTCCTTGTCCAGGTCATCTCTCAGTAAGTAAGAGGATGTTGAAGTTTAGTCCATAAAATAAGTTGGATCCTCTGGAGTTAGATAGGCTGGAGATAATGAATCTTGATGTATTATAATTATGTAATAGGGAGGCGATGCTTTGAATGCCTTCAAAATGCAGTTGTATCAATGATGCAACTGTCCTTCCAAATGGAGGTGCTTTGTAGTAACTAGTATCTATGAGGACAATGGACATGCTATTTCATAGTAGAGACCCTGTGATGTGTCATTTTGATTCTGTTGATGATGCTTGAAGAACTTTCTCTTACTTGTACTGTTGTAGGATATTGAATTTGTGTAAATGTTTGCTATCTACTATTGTAATGGGAGAACGTGATGTAAGTTTTAATAATCTGTGGATGATGTTTGTATTTTTTTACCATGAAAAACTTGTTGTGAATAAGTTTTGGGCTATTGTTGTAACCTTATATATTCTTCAAAGCAATGTGGTTACCGATTGAAGTGGTTTTATCATTGGCGATTAAATTCATATGGGATTGTGTTCATCTACATGTATATTGATGGTTATGACTGTGATGGTTCTTTTACTCTTTAAAACTCGATGGAGTACTATTTTTGGAGGATTGCAAGTGGCCTACTCATGATTTTGCCTCCACACTGAGCATCTGGTTTAACGGGTGTAGAATGAATTTTGTTTTTGGGGTGATAGTTCCTCTAATTTAGGTAAATTTTGTTGACTTTGACAACTAGTTTCCTCTTGTTATGGCTGTAATGCCTTGTGGACTGTTAAAGATTCCAATCAAGAGCTTATACAATTTACACTATGTTGGTTTAGCTCTGATGTTGAAAGTATCTGTTAACAGAGGTATGATGCACCAGTTAACATATACATGATAATATTTCGATTGTATGGGAGTCTATCTTAGCTTATCCACTTCTCTGTTTGCGGTAAAAATTATAAAGCGTATAGTCTTTTGGAATTAACTTCTCTTCCGTTCTAAATTCAGCATTTTATTTTTGGTTGTAACAATAATTTCTGGGCCTCTCTTGTCCTAATTGCTGATAACTGTCTCTTGCTTATCTGATTCTACCGATTTGTTTCACCACCAAAGGACCTGTTGCCGAAAAGATCTCTTAAGCATGCTATTCTTGATCAATGCTCATAGTTTTCTGTTTCCCTCTCTGACTGGTACTATTTCCAGAATCCATATTCTGTAAACATCCTTATGGCTGGTTACGACAAGGAGACAGGCCCTTCCCTCTACTTCATTGATTACATTGCCACCCTCCACAAGGTAGATAAGGGTGCGTTTGGTTACGGATCCTACTTCTCCCTTTCCATAATGGACAGACTTTACCATAGCGGCATGTCACTCGAAGAAGCCATAGATCTGGTCGACAAGTGCATCGTGGAGATCAGATCCCGGTTGGTCGTGGCGCCTCCAAACTTTGTGATCAAGATTGTCGACAAGGATGGTGCGCGAGAGTATGCTTGGCGCGAGTCTGTCAAGGACATCCCTGTGGTTTCTGCTTGAGATCGACTACTGTTTTAAGTCCCTTTTTTCTGTTGATTAGAAAACAGCTCCATATGCAACTTCAAATTGTATGGATATGAATCTGCTCGGAATCGTGATATTTGCATCCTGAAAGTGGTTTTCTTTCCTGTCTGTAGGACCCCAGTTTTTTCTTTTTCTGGGGGATTGCTATCTAAGTGGTGAGTTCGGCTTGGGGTTTTCACCTGCATTATGCTTGTTAGGTTAGCTATGCCTCAAACAACAAAAAAACCATAAACGTAAACAAAAGAAAATGGAAAGCCCTAGAGTTTCCTGATATAAGCAGCCATTCCTCCATTTCTTAGGATGAACAAGTGCCTCGTGACAAGGATTTTATGATGCAGGGAAGTACATCCGAAACACCAGAAACCCTGTTTCATTTGGGGGGCTTTTAGATCTACCCGATGATCGGAAATATTTCGAATTTTTGTGTCACTAGATTTTGTATAAGGCGATGAATGTGATGACGACGGAGCTATGAAGATGGCTTTCCACATGAAAACCCCTTTAGCTCTCTTTCGTTTTTTCTCCTTTTTCTCTGTTTTTCCAGTAAGAATGTTCAAGTACAAATGTAGCATCCCATGCCCCTAGTATTCAATCGACCGTTGAATTTCATACATTGCCTCTTGCCCTTCAATGAGAACTCAGTCCATGATGAACTCACTTTCACAGTCATGTCCCCTGACACTTTGTGGGCTGCATTCCTTTGTCTGCTCGTTTTCTTCCTCGATAATGACATAAAATATTTCTAAACTTTTCATTCATTCAACGTGCAATATGATCCATGAATACGTACTAAAAGCTCTAATACCATATTAAAGAAATTAAAAATTTAGGGACCAATTGCATATTTAGCTAAAGTTCAAAAATTATTTGTGTCATTTTCCCTTATTCATTCATGCAAAAAAGACGACAGTAGACTTAGGCTACACAAAAGATAATCTTTTTTATGCGATAATCAGTCTAACTATGAAATTCATCTTCTTTTTGGAGGTCCCCCTAGCAATTGAATGCACTTTATTTTTGTTCCGGATGGGATAAGGCCGACGACGATGAATTCAATTGTCCAAGTAATCGCAATTCCGTTTATATATTCGAATTGCTATTCCATTGTACATGTGTTTTTTCTATATATATTTAGTATTTGTAGTCATTACATATTTTAGATATGGTATATTAGCCTTTTAAGTATATTAGTATAGTTTATAATTTAATAAAGTTCACAATAATACTTACCAAGCATTCCTAAATTCAAAACTGTGCACGTCAAAAGATTTCCAGTTAAGATTAAAATGGTCCAGCTAAAGAGAACGTAATTTGATTTTGTTCACACATATATATGCTTCTGCTCGACAGGATTATCCTCGAGAATAAGACCTACATCTACATGTATTGTTTCTCATCCCACTATACACGGCTGATCTATTCAATTTACATGTAAGGTCCACTAAACTTATTAGTATTTAGATTGAAATGATGTCGGGTATACCACATTGGGTCTATATATTGAATGCGACATATTAAGATTGACATTTACAACCAATTAGCATTTACCGTATCATCCAGTGATTTCATAATATTCTCTGGTTCTTAACATATATCCCGTCCCTCAACTCTCGAGTGGGGGGAGGAGATTGACTTGAACCCACTTTATCGGATTCATCTCAGCCATTGATTTTGGGTGGGGCCCACTTGATTATAGTTGGATTCGAGCTAGTGACTTGAGTGCACAGGAATTTCCCATCAGGTGGGGTTTTGCCACGTCATCGTACGCCTTCAATTCTCATAGCACATTTGGGTGCGGAGGAAATTTTCCCTAGCGTTAGATTGTTGATTATAATTGTAATTCATATCAATTATGAATAAGTTTATTTATGTTATCCATATAATGTTAGTGCCAATTATAATTATTTTGTCTTAAATACATATTATTCGATTAATAAATAAAATATTAATTGGTTTTGTCATGTCGATATTACATATTAAATGTTATTCACAATGTAGTAGATATCATGATATTAGTTGCTCACTATTAGTTACAATGTCTAAAATTTACATCATTTCATATTTATGTTATTGATAATATGATGATTACCTTAACTACAAATTAATATCGAGTAAAGCTCAAACTATAATTATTATCCCAATCACACTATCAATTATGTAATAAATAATATTTATTATAATATCGTTTATGCTATTAAATTAAATCTATTATTATTCTTGTTGTTGTTGTCGTCAAACCAAACACGAATGCTTATATTTTAAAGAGTTAATACTACAAAAAAATCTCAAACTAGTATACTTGTGATATATTTACCCCAAACTAATTTGTTTACCACCAAAAACTCCAAACTGGTATGCACGTGACAAATGTACCACAAACTAATTTTTTGACCTTAAAAAATTTCAAATTAGTACACTTATGACAAATTTACCCTACGTCAAATTGGATTAGTACCACGAAAAACCACATTAGTACACTTATGACAAAAGGAGAATAATTTCCAAACCGGTACACTCCTCAATTGTCTTGTGTCATTAAAATAAAAAAATTTGAAGATAATATTTAACGGAAACTAATATCAGTTTAATGTTTTTTTGGTAAAAAATTAATTTTTGATAAATATGTGACAATGTACCAATTTAAATTTTTCGTCGTATTAATTAACCCTATTTTAAATCGTCGCATCTTGAAAATGTACGATTGACGGTTGAAGTGATCTCCAGCTCCATGGTAGAGAGCTCTTCGAGCATCACCTTTTTGGCGCTGTGGATGGGCGACACAGCAGGTACGTCGTCAAATTTCCGTCCTAGATTGGCTCGCGGGTCTCCCTTCCTCTCTCTCTCTCTGCGAATTCTCCCGTTCCCTACTTCCGCCGTCGAAGTACGGATTGCTCTCGTGCTCTCTCTCTCTCTCTCGCTCGCTCGCTTTGGCTCTTCCTTTAAGCGAATCTGCGGTTTGACCGACCGGTCGTCTTCAATGCGATCATGTTTCTCCTTTTGCTTCCCTTTGTAACGTGCTAATTGCTGGTGCCTGCGCTGCATTACATTGCCCTTTGTCTCGTTTGGCACGCGCGTGCTTCTGGGTGTCGGTTGTTTTCCCTTTCTTGGGCTGAATTTGATGCGAGATTTGACAGGGATTCAGTGGGTTGTGTGAGCCGTGTCGCGTGCTTTTGCGTAGATGAGCATATGGGCTTGCTTGGAGAGTGACCCTCGATTGGGTGAGGGTTTTGACAATAGGAAAAGATGATGGTGCAGATTCTCTGTGCTGTGTGAAGGTTTTTCAAGTTTGTCGTCTGTTGATGAACATCCCCATGTTTTCGTTCGGTCTGTTGCATTTTCGCTTTCAGAGTCTGGTATCGGATAACTATGGTTCTTTCTCTTAGTGTGGGCTATCTTGGTTACTTGTTTTTATGTGCACGATGAGTATTAGCAGTGACAGGGCTCGGATTATAATTTCTGCTGAACGAATGAGAGGCAATGTAGGTCTAATTATGTTGATCCTGTGCACGAATGCTTATAGTTTATGCCTTTTGGACTTTTGCAATTGGGAAGGAGTCTTCCCGATCCATGAATTCGTTGGAAATTTTCTTGAGGGCAAAATTAAAGATATAGGCTGTTTGAATTTCTTTTCTTTAAGGAGGTTTCGTGCATTCGATTGCAGACACTCTCCCCAATATAAGTCTATACGTGATGACCATTCTTGCTTTGTGTACGCCAGAAAAGGCATCTGCTCTTGTTTACTTAGTTTTATTTGGACATGGAAATGCAGGCTATTTAGAAGTATTTTTTTACTTTTAGGTGAAACTGATAGTTAAATCTTCGCTTCACAGTGCCTTCTATAAAACTATGATGGGTTCACTTGATGACAGATCGGATGATGAATACTCTGTCATTGGTGATAAGGGAGAAATTTCATTCATTGATTATCAGAGAGACCAGTCTGTTTGTAATTATGATCTCAATGAAGATGATCCAGTCGTGGTTTCTGTTCCATTCGCTTTTGTTGATGGAAAGCCGCGGTCAGTATTTGTTGGGGAAACCGCTGCAGATTCAATCTCCATAACAAACAACACCGATGACCAAATAGACATCTGGTCCATAAAAATATATGCCTCAACTCCTGAGAATTCATTTACGCTTTCTTTGATGGAACCGGTGTCAGAAAATTCAGGTGTAAATGCCATTCAAGGTTTCCTCGAGTCGTTTTCCTTGGAGGACAGAGTGCTGCAGCCAGGAGAGACTCTAACTGTCTGGTTGTCTTGCAAACCAAAGGAAATTGGGTTGTACACATCGGTGGTCCATATTGATGTGGGGGATAAGATAGAAAGAGTCGTTTTTCTCTTGGTAGATAACAAGATTTCCAGGTCCTTGGTTTCGAAAAAACCATACGTAAGAGGCACCAGAAAGAAACATTTTGATGTGGATACATATGTTGTTGGTTCGCGTCCAGCAAGAATTACAACCCGCTTTAAGAAAAGGCTCCCTCAGTATCCAATTCCAAAGGAAGTGAGAGAATTGATAGAGAACAAGCAGATTCCTGCTGCAATAAGAGGAGGTCTAACCAGAGCAAATTATGCTCCTTTCTTCAAAACATTGGTAAACATGGAAGAACTGAAACTGGAGGTAAGATTTTCTTCTTCATTTTCTTTCTGGTCTTTTTGGCATTAGATAAGAAAACAAAATTGATGCTATGAAGGCCTGTTATTGTCTTTCAAATTAACCAACCGTTTCTATAGGATGATATGAGATCTTTTGATATGGAAAATGTTACTATGAGAAGAAAAGGGACTCAGTACCTGACCCTCGAAGTGCCTGGACTTGCTGAGAGACGACCTTCACTGGTCCATGGAGATTTCATTTTTGTAAAGTTGGCTTCTGATGAAGCTGCTAACAGCGCTCCTTACCAGGTCTGTATAAAGTTATCAGGCTTTTGAGGTCCAATTCTGTTTTTAATGGTTGGTAAGTTTTCTCTAACATGTGTCTAACCACTTCTCGAACAATGTTTATATGGTGGATCTCAGTGATCATCATATTTTGCTGTTAACTGTATCATAATCTGATAATGTGCATTCTACAACAAAGGCAACAGAGGTGAATGGTGATTTGGATGGGCTGAGCATAAACTTTTTTACTTCAGTGAGATTATCCAATGTGCAATTTTTTCTTAAGCTGTAGTAATGTCCATCTAAGGATTTTGTCCAGAACTTCTTTGCTTGCCAATTGTAATCATTTGCGAAAAAATAAATGTTGATAACATGAATTGCATCATTTACGTGGTAGCTGGCTGAAACCTGCTTCCTGTTTTTTAGTATAGATTTGATCCACAAAAATTCTTTTTCATGGCATATACTTTTTGTAAAGAGGCCTCGATCAACGTCCCTTATATGCTTCAATGGATGCCCTGCAGGGCTATGTACACCGTGTTGAAGCTGATGAAATTTACTTAAAGTTTGCCAAGGATGTCCATGTGCGCCATAGGGATGAGAGTTTATACAATGTTCAGTTCAGTTATAACCGAGCCAACATGAGAAGATTATACCAGGCAGTTGATGCTGCCAAAGATTTAGATGAAGCGATGCTTTTTCCCTCTAATTTGCGACGGAAGAGGCGGATTTCAACAACGCCACTGGTTCCTTTTAGTCGTATTCTGAATGAGGAGCAAATATGTTCGGTTGAGATGATCCTCGGCTGCAAAGGAGGGCCACCATATGTAGTTTATGGTCCTCCAGGTACGGGTAAGACCATGACTATAGTGGAAGGAATAATGCAGCTTTATGAAAATCGTGCGGATACCCGAATCCTTATCTGCACTCCATCAAATAGTGCTGCTGACCACATTCTAGAGAAGCTTCTTGGGGAGGAGGTTGTGAAAATTAAGGAAAATGAGATATTCAGACTTAATGCGACTAATCGAGCTTATGAGGATGTCAAACCCGATCATATTCGGTTTTGCTTTTTCGATGAGCTTGTTTTCAAATGTCCTCCAATCAGAGCTCTCATGCGCTACCGGATTATCATCTCGACTTATATGAGTGCTTATCTTCTTTCTGCTGAGGGTGTGGAGCGAGGCCACTTCTCTCATATCTTTTTGGATGAGGCTGGCCAAGCTTCAGAACCAGAAAGCATGATCCCTCTCTCTAACCTCTGCCAACGTGATACTGTTGTTGTTCTTGCGGGTGACCCGATGCAATTAGGTCCTGTGGTGTACTCAAAAACAGCTGAAGATTATGGATTGGGAAAATCATACCTGGAGAGGTTGTTTGATTGTGAATTTTACTTCGATGGTGACGAGAATTTTGTGAAAAAGCTTATCCGAAATTACCGAAGTCACCCAGAAATTCTGCACTTGCCTTCAGAGCTATTTTATAATGGAGAATTGATAGCATGTAAGGATGATGCAAGGTGTCTTAGCACAGAGGTGAACCTCATTCCTAACTGCAAATTTCCTGTTCTCTTTATTGGTATTCAAGGATGCGATGAGAGGGAAGGAAATAATCCTTCATGGTTTAATAGAATTGAGGCAAGTAAGGTAATACAAGTCATCGAGAGGATCATAGCATGTGAGGAAATTAACGAGAATGACATTGGCGTAATAACACCTTATCGCCAGCAAGTACTTAAATTAAAGACATCTCTCGAAAGTCTAGATTTGCCCAATATCAAGATTGGAAGTGTCGAGCAATTCCAAGGGCAGGAAAGCAAGGTTATCATAGTATCCACAGTTCGATCTACCATAAAGCACAATGAGTTTGACAGGGTCCACTGTTTAGGATTCTTGAGCAATCCGAGAAGATTTAATGTGGCTATTACTCGGGCTATATCCTTGCTTATCATTGTTGGGAATCCTCATATTATAACCAAGGTACCTTGCTAACTTCTACAAGAAACTAATTGTCTTCTTATAATTCCTTTTGTCTGGGAAAATGGGTTGTGATTTATATGTATGGGAAAGTAAGGTTTAGAGCTCGTGTGCACAGAAACAATAGAAAGGGAAGGAAGCAGTATGACCAGAGGAGGGTGTCAGTTCTTATGTCATCGTATTGCTTCCTTCTCGTGAGTATTGCTCGTCACTTCTCAACGACTTTGACACCCTCTTTTTCTTTGTATCTTGGTTCAGTTGTCAGCTTCTCTCACAGTCTCACTTCGTGGTGGAGTATAAAATAAAAATTGATAGGAGCACGGTTAGCTGATTCATTTAAAAAAGACAGAAACGACTGAGATTCAGAAAGGTTTATTTCCCTAGGGGAATAACTCATTTACACAAGAAGAAAAAATCCTGAAAGAGCTACTTGTGCTCTTCTTTCCATGTTGTTGCCCATGTTTTGTAAGTTTTGCAGATATTATCTTACCATTCACTAATGGTTACAACTATTTTCATTGCGACTTGGCACAACTTTATGCATCTTATGTGATCTCAGATGGTTTCTTTAGTTCTACACCCTTAAAATCAGAAATTCATAGTCTTGAAATTGTTGATGAAGGAAATTCTGAAAGTTGGAAATGGGGCAAGAAAGAGGAATGACTTAAAGATATGCATAGTTTAGGGACATCTCATATATTCAAAATTTGAAATGGATCGGAAAAGACGAGATGTAGCTTCCAACATCCTATTATCGTATGGTTGATTTGTGACATCTATAATGTATCTATCTTTCGCATTCGGCAGGATCCATACTGGAACAAGCTCTTGTGGTATTGTGTGGACAACAATTCTTATCAGGGTTGTGCTCTTCCTGAGAGGGTCGAGGAATCTGTTGAGGATTATGCAGGTTATGAGGAAGAAATCCCCCAGCAAGGGGAAGAAAACGATTACTATGAAGAACCCCGTCAAACAGAGGCTCCTCTGCCAGTTACAAATGAAGATGAATGGTCAGATGGCTGGAAGTAAGTTGTTGGAATGTCTGCAAATATAGACAGAAGGCAGGTGAATGAACCTCTTGACTTTAGTAAGTTCTTCCATACATTGCGCAATTTCACTACTGTGATCGGTGAGCCAACAGGCACAAGAAAACATGCAAATAAATGCCAGGACTTGAAAGTATAGTTGCTTTGTTGGGCTGTGTACGCTATGAGAAATGACATATCAAATTGGTTGATATGGTCAAGGGTGTTAGTCCAACAACATGTTGGATTTTTATTGTCAATCCGTGCGACGTTCGCTAACATGTGCTTTTGTTTCTTAGTAGGGCATCGATGCGATATAACTATGCGAGTGGATAACAAATTAGGTAAAGATGCCTTGTACCTCTCTCGGTAGTCATTGAACAAACATGAAACATGTAATGAAAACAAGGAAATGACATCTAGTATTCAAACTTCCCAAATAGACTTTCGTCTCTTAGGCAAGCTTCACCGAGCAATTATCTGATATTTGTTTCCTGTTGTAATCTCTTCATCCAAAAAAGAATTGAAGAAGGGCTCCCCAGTCACATTAATCTTGGAAACTTGCCAACTTTTATTTACGTCGTTAAGCGTTATTTGTAGCATAGGTATGCCGTATCATCAGTTTGTTGCCGCGCTTTCTTCTATTTTGATTGAGATTGATTGAGTTACCCTATGTTACGCCTAGGACTGAAATGCTAGTCTTGCATTGTCCAAGTTGATTTATTTTAGCACCAGAATGTTCGTTGATTACATGCTTTGTTTGTAGATTTGTATGCTGCATTACATAACTAATTCCATTTACTGTATGAGATATTATGGTTTGGATCATTGATATTACTTGTGGAGTAGTGGCCAGTGCTACTTGCTGACGACACATACTTTCATACTTGCTGTAGGTGATGGGCTGTTGGATGTGGCCTTCCAGTCATAAGGAGGAACCCGGGCTAGGCGTGATTATCGTATTGCTCTAGCTTTTGTTGTCGGCCTTCGTGGCTTTCGACTTGGAATGTGTCAATATTCCCCCTGTTTGTCCTTTTCTAGGGATAGAAGTTAGCTGGTTTGCATTGCCGACCTCGTTTCGAATGAACAATGAAGCAGATGTCTTCAGAAAGTTTGATTATCGATGTGAGAATGCGGTTGTTGTCTATACGGAGAAACGCTAGATTGGAATTTTCTTTCCATTATGTCATGGACCTTATTCTTTATTCTCGATGTTGTCATTCAAACAGAGGTTACCATGTTTGAAATGAACATCTCGACTTTCTAAGTTCACGTTTCGGCTATGGATGAAACGGGTAAAGAATAGTGGAATGCCCTAGTCTGGTCAAAATGCGAGCCTAATATAGTGATATGGAAGGGCCATGGTCCTTGATATGGTTTTGCAGCTGGGAATAGAGCGTGACAGAGAACTGATAACATGCACCCAGGTCAATGAAAGAAATGCAGCAATTGGCTTTTGATTTCTGTCAGGTTTTACTGCTCTTGACTCGGTTCATATACTGAAATTTGCTACTTCTGCTGCGTGGTAAATCCGTGTCTAGTCTCATACCCAACGAAAAATGAAGGAGAAATCTTGGCGGGGCACGTAGTCTAAAAGACCTAAATCAATGAGGTGCGCTTAAGAATTGTAGCGCGACGAAAAACCCACGTTGGCGGCAAGCACGTGAGGAGCGTCAGCTGATTGATCTGCAGTTTTGACGATGAACTCATGGCCGGTGTTAGCGGCGAGGCTGGTACTGTGGGTGCGATATCAGCAGCAGCTGACGATGAAATGCCGGTTCCATCCGGAGAAGGCGACGGTGAAGGAGCGCTCAAGGGACCTGCAATTTTAAGACGGTATACTTCGCGGTCAGGATGCTGCGTGAGTAATGCATTCGAGGTTTAGCTTCCGTGCGCCATTTTCCGTAGCATGATCGCCAGGCAAACATATATAGTTTCGAGCCCCGACATCAAGTGTAGCTAGAACATGAATGGGAATGAAGGGCGGAAATAATCGAAGTCATTTTTCCAGGAAAAACTACGGATTTCGGCAATCAGCATATAGAACGATGCTTCAGTTTAATCCTGGTTCTTTTGATCGAATTAAGCTACAGAATCCGGGAAACTACATGAATGGTAAGACGACGTAGAGCAATCGACTTACTGTTCTCGGGCAATGTCTCAATGTCCGAGCCCTTTGCGCCGCGCAGAGGAGGCAACGGTGGCGAACCTGATGCATACGCGATTCGAAAACGGTTAGAAAAAAGCCTCTCGTACCATTTCAGCATTGCTAAAGCGACGCGATCGCAGCTCGAAACATGATCGTCCTCCTATCAAATCGAGCTTTACAAGCGCGCGGTCGGACTCAACGCAGAAACAATGCCTAAGCATGTACTATCAGATCGACACGATCCAGAACAATCGATGCATAATCTCAATCCGAGGCGTCGAAAGGACTCGATAACACGAACAGCACAGCAGGAGGGCAACGCAGAGCTTGGTACTGCTGTGCATTTATCCGCATTTCAAGGCTTCAAAAGTGAAACGAACTTTTCTTTCGATTCGCGATCGCGACGCTCTAGAGCCGCCGGAATCGATCAGATCGGCACTCTGCCCGACAGAACCGAATACAATCACCTCAAATCTAGGCCTGCGCAGATTCTTACACTACACGGACGCAGGAACAGAGACGCGAACCTGATGAACAGAGAGAATCCAGCTCGACCGTCGCGTTCCTCGCCGTGGAGTCGCCGACGTCGGCGGCGGCGAGAGAGCAATCGGAAGGCAGAGAGCGTAGCCTGGTGCCGTTGAGCGGGAACCCGAGCATGGCGGGCTCCCGCACGAGGTAACAGAGGCAGCCGACGAAGCCGGAGTCGCGGGCGAAGGACAGGGCGGCGCAGCAGGGAGGAGGCGCGGTCGACGCCAGGTCGTTCGGCGGCGACGAGACGTAGGGGAGGCACGGGGACAGCAGCACGATCTGGCCGGCGCAGCCGTCCGGCGCGGGAGGAGACGGAGGCGGAGGCGGCGGCGCTGCTGCGGCGGCCGCTCGGAGGAGGAGGAAGGCGGTTACGGCGGCGGCGGCGACGGAGGCGGCCATCTTCGTTCTAGAGAGAGAGAGAGAGAGAGAGAGAGGGAGAGAGATAACGACTTTGCAGGAGGAATGGCGGGACGAGTTCCCCTGCGCTTTGAAATATATACACGTGTCTCGCTCGTGCGCCAACAATGGACACGTGCGATGCACGTGATTCGCGACGGTTCGATTTACCTTGATTATAAAGAAAAGATTAGTGTGATTTTTTTTTCCTGGTGATTTATTTTATTCGCTAGAAGCCATACATAGGGGCAGCATTATTTTTAGGAAAATGATTTGCTTTTTCTATTCTGTAAATTTTGCTTTGCCTTTTGTGTATTTCTACATAAAGAAAGTTTTCATCACATTGTACCGGATATTCGTTCCTTAGGGATAATGTTAGGGGGTGGTCCCTGACCTTTTCAATGTGACCTCGATTCCGTTTAATGTAATCCTTCTATTAAGTATATCGCCGCCTAACCTGTATTTTTTTTTTTTTTTAACGTGACTGCCATATCAGCATTTGCTTGGCCAACTGACTATTTCAATCGGCACAAGCGATCATTTTTAGGGAAAATGTTTCCCACGTCGTTCATTTTTCGCGAAACAGACGGAGCAAAAATTTCCTGCGAACCTTCTTTTTCGAAGGCCACGTATGAACCCAAAAAAATTCAAGATCTTGGCAATTAGTATAACCAATAAGAATGAGCTCTTTTCCTATTATCCTACATAATTAACTATATTCCCTATCGATCATGCATGCTACTTTAATTTCTTACGCCCACAATAGCTTAGTCAAATCTAATCTCATCTATGTAATTGCTAGAAGCGAGTCTAATGAAAAGCAAAGTTTGCCCCCATTGATTGCGTGATGATTAGGTGAACGAATAGCTTCCTTCCCTTATGGCCAATTACATCTTTGCTTTCTCATGCACTCGAGTTCAATCTTTACACATATGATGTGGGAGGGACAAATAACATCCATCATTGTAGAAATTAGAGAAAAAGGAAAGAAAACTATGCCCCCTCTCTCGGCGATAATTCGATCGTATCGATTTTGGTTCGTGTTTCTCGCGTCACCGATCGCCTATTTTCTTCGTCGAATTAACATTAGAAAAGGCGAGCATTGTGATCTAGAATTCTCATAAGATTATATCTAAATTATTAACATTATTAGTCCTCAGATATGCCACGTTGCTCTGATTTGTTCTTGGGACTTACCTCATCATGTTGCTCTCTTTTTAGTTCACCAAAGAATCGCATACCAAATATAAGATAATTTCCATCTCTGATGAAGTCCATGGCAAACCCTAATCTTGTATATAAAGGAAGCAACCCACGAGTGTAAACTCAGGGCATGCAAACAAATCGAGCACATTCGGATTTCTTGATCAGACCCACGAGAAGAAATTGTTTGGAACTGCCTCTCATGGCTTTGAAAGGCGACAAGATGGGTCCGGGTCTAGTTATGGCTCTTGTGGTGATCCTGGCCGTGCTCTGTGCAGGAGCCGCAGCTCAATCCGGGTGCACCAGTGTGCTCATAGGCCTCGCGCCGTGCCTCAGCTTCGTGACGGGGAGCTCGTCCGCCCCGTCCTCCTCGTGCTGCTCCCAGCTGGCCAGCGTGGTCCAGTCGCAGCCGCGGTGCCTTTGCATGGTCCTCAACGGCGGCGCCTCCTCCCTCGGCGTGACCCTGAACCAGACCCTGGCCCTCGCGCTCCCCGGCGCCTGCAACGTCCAGACCCCGCCCGTCAGCAAGTGCGACGGTGAGTTCGAGCGCAAACTGAGTGTGAATTTTGTTGCTTTTTGGGGTTTTTGATGCTTCAACTTGTGTGCAGCTTCCGGCGGAACGGTTGCTGCAGCCGGCTCGCCAGAGAGTTCGCCGAGCAACGTTACAGGTGATACTACTAGTAGTCCCTTTGGCTCATAAGGTGATCATGTCTCCTTTTGATCGTAATAATTCTTCTCTCTTCCCGCTTTTCATGAAAATGCAGGGGCATCCAAAGAAGTTCCATCAACTGCAGGAAGTTCCACCAGCCACGGAATCGCGAAGCTGCCGCCGCTTCCTCTCGCAGTGCTCTCGGTCTTCACGGCGACCTTTGGATACGTCCCCATGGCTATCTGAATTTCTACATTCCCCGGCGATGTATAACGCCGAACTATAATTATGTACGTGTAGCCCGCGCGTGCTACACCATATGCATTTCCCTTTGTCGAAGTATGTGTGCTTGTGCTTGATATGCATTGTATCCCGCTTTACCTATTTCCCCCTCGTTGGTATTGTCATTTCGCCACTATCAATATACTAATATTGGAATACTTGATCTCTTGCTTACTTTCCAATGGTTTCGGCCCCCAATTCCGATCTTTAAATTTAGTGGGTCAAGAAATGAAGCTGAGGCATGTCAATAACCTCTGTTCTTGGACATGCTTTCAAGATGCAGACTGCAGTATTCGCATCTGATACTTGATAGGACAATCAAAATTCGAAAGTCTAACCTAGCACATTAAAGCTTGATTTCCAAAGTCTCGAGTGTGCTTAAGCATCTCCTCACGCTCGAAATGGTTCTGTAGTTCGTGCATTGGGTCGACCTTAAGAAGCCGGACGCTTCTATTACCGCGAGCCCGTCAAAGGATCGCAATTTTTTCCGAGGGAACAAACAGTATCGAAATAGAAAGATTGATTCTTGAAGGAAGGATTCCAGGAGATGCTTTGTTCAGTACGCTCCTCTCGTATAAGAATGCAGTATGAGCTGGGAATTCCATGCATTTGGGTGCCGAATATGCAAGAAGAGAACCGATGCAAAAATTTAAATCAAGAATTCGGTATGGTTTTCGGCAGTATTTTCAAGAATTCGTTCTAGAGAGAGAGAGAGAGAGAGGGAGAGAGATAACGACTTTGCAGGTGGAATGGCGGGACGAGTTCCCCTGCGCTTTGAAATATATACACGTGTCTCGCTCGTGCGCCAACTATGGACACGTGCGGTGCACGTGTTTCGCGACGGCTCGATTTACCTTGATTATGAGAAAAGATTAGTGTAATTTTTTTTTTCTGGTAATTTATTTTATTCACTAGAAGCCATACATAGCGGCAGTATTATTTTTATGAAAAATGATTTGCTTTTTTCTATTCTGTAAATTTTTCTTTGCCTTTTTGTGTATTTCTACATAAAGAAAGTTTTCATCACACTGTATCGGATATTCGTTCCTTAGGGATAATGTTAAGGGGGTGGTCCCTGAACTTTTTCATGTGACCTCGATTCCGTTTAATGTAATCCTTCTATTAAGTATATCGCCGCCTCACCTGCATTTTTATTTTTTTACGCAATTGCCGCATCAGCATTTGCCTGGCCAACTGGCTATTTCAACCAGCATAAGCGATCATTTTTAGGGAAAATGCTTTCCATATTATTTATTTTTCGCGAAACAAACGGAGCTGAAATTTCTTATAAACCTTCTTTTTCGAAGGCCATGTACAAACCCAAAAAATTTCAAGATCTTGGCAATTAGTAGAACCAAGAATGAGCTTTTTTCCATTATCCGACATAATTAACTATATTCCCTATCGATCATGCATGCTACTTTAATTTCTTACGCCCACAATAGCTTAGTCAAATCTAATCTCATCTATATAATTGCTAGAAGCAAGTCTAATGGAAAGCAAAGTTTGCCCCCCCATTGATTGCGTGATGATTAGGTGAACGAATAGCTTCCTTCCCTTACGGCCAATTACATCTTTGCTTTCTCATGCACTCGAGTTCAATCTTTACACATATGATGTGGGTGGGACAAATAACATCCATCATTGTAGAAATCAGAGAAAAAGGAAAGAAAATACGCCCGACTCTCGGGGATAATTCGATCATATCAATTTTGGTTCATGTTTTTCACGTCACCGACCGCCTATTTTCTTCGTCGAATTAACATTAGAAAAGGCGAGCATTGTGATCTAGAATTCTCATAAGATTATATCTTAATTATTAACATCATAAGTCCTCAGATATGCCACGTTACTCTGATTTGTTCTTGAGACTTACCTCATCATGTTGCTCTCTTTTTAGTTCATCAAAAAAGCACGTACCAAGATAATTTCCATCTCTAATTGATGCGGGAGCATCCGACTTAGCTCCATCGAACAATTCGGAACCATCGATGCTTATTGAAGCCAATAAAGAATTTGGGCATCATGTGCTTCGATGGGTCATTTCCAATGATTCTGAATAAAACAAAACCTATCGATAACATATCGACGTGTTGAAGAATGTCGATAACTTGTCGATACTCTAAAGTATATCGATGACATATCGATGGGAGGCTATTATGGACTATTTCAAAGAGCATTTGAAGAGTTTTCAACAAGGTTATCTTCTGGTCAAAGGGGAAGCACGAATTTCGCAAAGATGAAGACTCAAGAATGCAAGTTCCCATGCTATTAATTGCATTTCTAAGTTCCTAGGTGTCTTTACTATTTTACAAGTTTCAAGAGTCAAAGTTTGTAGAACCCAGGTGCCTTATTATGTTTCTTAGTTCCGAGGTTTTCTTTTAATATTTTAGTTGATTCCTAGATTTCGTTTCTCCTATAAATAGAGGACGATTCTCCATTGTAAGATAGATGATTTTGATGAATGAAAATTTGTGAGATTTCCTCTACTTGAGTGAATATCTTCGGAGAGTGGATAACTCCTTTCGGTCTCTTTATCCTTGGAGCGTGGATTACTCCTTGGTGGTGAGCTAAGAAGCCCTTTTATCCTTGATTGGTGGTATCTTTAGGTCTTGGTGGTGAGCTTCTCCTATCCCGAAGTCCTTTATCCTTGGCTGGTGGAATCTTTAGGCCTTGGTGGTGAATTTCGTAGATCCCGATCCTCATCCTTGATTGGTGGCGTGGCCTTTACACCTTGGAAGGAGATCGTTCTATCTTATTTTATTTCTGCATTTTTTCCTTCAATTCCATCCTCATACACTCCATTCCATACACTTATCTAGAAAATTCCACAAAAAGAAAATTACCCGTTCCGGAATCACTCGGCCACCAACGCATCAAATTGGTATCAGAGCTCAAGGTTGAACTTGTTTGAGTGATTCCTTTCTGTTTTTCCAACCCTTATTCAACATGGATGATCGGGTTCTAAGAGGCTTGACTTTGGAACAAGCGCATAATGAAAGGCGGGATCGTGCTATCCAAAACCTTCAGCAACAAATGGAGCGAGTCCTCAATCTTCTAGAGGATCCGGAGAGGCGTCCAAATGATCGACGTCGGCATGACGATTCAGAATCTCGTCAAAGTTCTAGTGGCGATTCCAATTCCACTAGGGGCAACTCTAGTGATTCTGATTCTCATATCCGAAGACGAAGAGGAAGGCATAAGGAGAATGATCGAGACATCAAAGTGGAGGTCCCTGAATTTTAAGGTAGTCTCAATCCCGACGACTTTGTGGATTGGCTACATACAATCGAACGGATTTTTGGCTTCAAGTCCTACTCAGACGAGAAGAGGTGCAAGGTTGTTGTCCTAAAGTTGACAAAGTATGCTTCGCTATGGTGGGAGAATCTAAAGCATCAGCTAGCAAGAGAAGGAAAAGGCCGAATCAAGTCCTGGGAAAAACTCAAGAAGTTGATGAAGAAGAGGTTCTTGCCTGACAACTATAGGCAAGATCTTTTCCTAAAATTGAATTCCCTAAGACAACAAGGGATGAGTATTGAAGAATACATCCGTGAGTTTGAACAACTCAAAATGAGATGCGACGTTCCAGAAGTTCCGGAGCAAACTGTCGCTCATTTCCTTGGCGGCATGAATAGAGAAATTGCTGATATGGTGAACTTCAACCGTATTGGTCCTTTGAAGACGTTTGTAAGCTAGCCATAAAAGTTGAGAAGCAATTGAAAGGCAAGAGGTTTTCCTCCAGAACCTCAACCAAGGCGACATCCTATTTTCAGGGTGCTTCCTCAAGCAAGGTCGAGAGCACGTCGACCAAAGACAAAGGAAAGGAGAAGAGTACAGAGCCTTCCAAAGAATTCCAGAAGAAAACTGAAGGCGATGCGAGGAAATGCTTTAAGTGCCATGGTTTTGGGCATTTTCAAGCAAATTATCCAAATCGGCGAGTTATGACTCTTCAAGAAATTGAGGAGATCAATTTGGCACTTCAAGAGGCTGAAAGCAATCCGGACCAAAATGGTTCTGAATCTAAAAAGGAAGAAGAAGTTGTGGAGAAAGCAGATGATGGCGAAATGTTGATCATACGAAGAGCATTGCATACTAAAGTTTCTCTTGATAATGAGCAAAGGGGGAACATCTTTCACACCCGTTGCACTATTAATGGGAAGGTATGTTCGGTGATTATCGATGGTGGAAGTTGCACCAACGTTGCTTCGACAACCCTTGTCGACAAGCTGAAGCTTCCAATAACGAAACATCCTCAACCGTACAAGCTCCAATGGCTCAATCAAGGAAATGATCTCAAGGTAACCAAACGAGCTCTTATATCGTTTTCAATTGGGAAGAACTATCGAGATCAAGTTCTGTGTGATGTGATTCCCATGGATGCATGTCACTTGTTATTGGGAAGACCTTGGCAATATGATATGAATGCTGTGCATGATGGTCGTAAGAATACATACTCTTTTCGAAAGGAACAAAAATGCATCACCCTTTTACCCTTGAATCCTTCATTGATACATTGAAATCAACTTGGGGAGGGAAACACTGGTAAGGAAAGTTTGTTCTTAAATGAAACACGGGTTGAAAGAGCCATTAGCAAACAAAAGAATGTATTTGCTTTGCTTATGGTAGAGAAAAAGAGTGAGATAGAGCGACCCATTCATCCAAAGATGCATCGCTTGTTGAAAGATTTTGCAAATGTGTTCCCGGAGGATTTGCCACTCGGATTACCTCCCATAAGAGGTATTGAGCATCAAATTGATTTGATCCCCGACACTCCTCTACCAAACAAACTAGCTTATCGATGTAATCCGGAGGAAACAAAGGAGTTGCAAAGACAAGTCGATGAACTTATCGACAGAGGATATGTTCGAGAAAGCATGAGTCCATGTTCTGTTCCTGCTCTACTCGTGCCCAAGAAAGATGGTTCATTCAGAATGTGCGTCAATAGCCGAGCCATCAACAACATCACCATTAAGTATAAGTACCCTATACATAGACTTGATGATATGCTTGATGAATTGTATGGTTCTACTGTCTTCTCAAAGATAGATTTGCGGAGTGGTTATCACCAAATCAGAATGCGAGAAGGTGATGAATGGAAGACGGCTTTCAAAACCAAGGGAGGCCTTTATGAGTGGTTGGTAATGCCATTCGGGTTATCGAATGCTCCAAATACCTTCATGAGACTTATGAACGAAGTTCTTCGTTCCTTCATTGGTCGATTTGTCGTTGTTTATTTCGACGATATTCTTGTTTATAGCAGGAACAAGGAGGAGCATATCTCTCATTTAAAACAGGTATTTAATGTCTTGAGAGAACAAAAACTCTATGCCAAAATGGAGAAATGTGAGTTCTTCTCTCCAAGCATTGTGTTTCTTGGTTATGTAGTTTCCAAAGATGGAATTTCCGTCGATCAATCCAAGGTGGAAGCTATGAAGACTTGGTCGGTTCCGAAGTCCATTTCTGATGTAAGAAGTTTTCATGGACTTGTTTCTTTCTATCGACGGTTTGTTAAAAATTTCAGTACCATCATGGCTCCTATAACTGAATGCATGAAGAATGGAGTTTTTAAATGGACAAAGGCTGCTCAAAATGCTTTTGAGGTAATCAAGCAAAAACTTTGTGAGTCCCCTATTCTTGTCCTTCCTGATTTTGATAAAGTATTTGAAGTTGAGTGTGATGCAAGTGGAGTTGGCATTGGTGCTATTCTTGTGCAAGCACAAAAGCCTTTGGCATATTTCAGCGAGAAGCTAACTGATTCAAAGAAGAATTATTCAACTTATGATAAAGAGTTCTACGCCATTGTTCGAGCTCTTGATCATTGGAGTCATTATTTGAGGCCAAAGCAATTTGTCCTTCATTCTGATCATGAAGCTCTCAAATTCATTAGTGGCCAACGCAAGCTTAATTCGAGACATGCAAAATGGGTAGAATTTCTTCAATCCTTTTCTTTTGTCTCAAAGTATAAACCGACACACTAATGTTGTAGCAGATGCTTTATCGAGGAGATATTCTATGCTTGTTGTTCTGGACTCTAGGATTCTTGGATTTCAATTGATGAAAGAACTTTATTCTAAAGATGCTGAGTTCTCATCAACCATCGACAACTGTAAGCGAGGAGTTCAAGGTACATATTCCTTACAAGATGGGTTTCTTTTTAAAGGAAATCGATTATGTGTGCCGAAGAGTTCTTTTCGCGAGTTGCTAATTCGAGAAGCACATGGTGGTGGAATGGCTGGTCATTTTGGAGTTAACAAAACTCTTGAGGTTCTTCAAGAACATTTCTATTGGCCAAAGATGAATGGAGATGTGCATGCTATTATCTCGAGGTGTGCAATTTGTCTAAGAGCAAAAAGCAATTTCCATCAAGGGTTGTATACTCTACTTCCGGTTCCATTGCAGCCCTGGGAAGATGTTAGCATGGATTTCATTGTGGCTCTTCCAAGAACTCAAAAGGGAAAAGATGCCCTCACGGTGGTTGTCGATCGATTCTCTAAAATGGCTCATTTTGTGCCATGTCACAAGACCGATGATGCATCTCATGTTGCTGACTTATATTTCAAAGAGATTATTCGTCTCCATGGAGTACCAAAGACCATTGTGTCGGATCGTGATTCCAAGTTCTTAAGCTACTTCTGGAAGACACTATGGAGAATGCTTGGTACCAAACTCTTATTCAGTACTGCTTGTCATCCTCAAACCGATGGCCAAACGGAGGTAACCAATCGTACTCTTACCACTCTTCTTCGTGGCATGGTGAGTAAATCTTTGAAAGATTGGGATTTGAAGCTTGCGCATGCTGAATTTGCTTACAATCGATCGCCAAGTTACACTACTGGTCGATCACCATTTGAAGTTGTTTATGGAATTAATCCTCTCACACCCATCGATTTGATTCCAATTCCATCTAACTCTCAAGTAAGCTTTGATGGCAAAGATAGAGCTGAATCGATGAAGAAGCTTCATGAGCAAATTCGAACAAAGATCAAGAAGGCCAATGAGTCTTACCAAAAGAAAGCAAATCAGTTTCAGAAGAAGGCCCAATTTCAACCGGGTGATCTTGTGTGGCTTCACTTAAGGAAGGAAAGATTTCCATCTCGACGCAAGAACAAGCTCATGCTGCGAGCTGATGGTCCGTTTAAAGTTATCGAGCGAATTGGGGACAATGCTTACAAGATTGATCTTCCTGGAGAGTTTGGAGTTTCGGCAACTTTCAATGTGGGAGACGTTTCTCCTTACTTGGAAGATGAAGACTTCTCAGATTTGAGGACAAATCTCAAACAACCCGGGAAGGATGATGCGGGAGCATCCGACTTAGCTCCATCGAACAATTCGGAACCATCGATGCTTATTCAAGCCAATAAAGAATTTGGGCATCATGTGCTTCGATGGGTCATTTCCAACGATTCTGAATAAAGCAAAATCTATCGATAACATATCGACGCGTTGAAGAATGTCGATAACTTGTCGATACTCTAAAGTATATCGATGACATATCGATGGGAGGCTATTATGGACTATTTCAAAGAGCATTTGAAGAGTTTTCAACAAGGTTATCTTCTGATCAAAGGGGAAGCACGAATTTCGCAAAGATGAAGACTCAAGAATGCAAGTTCCCATGCTATTAATTGCATTTCTAAGTTCCTAGGTGTCTTTACTATTTTACAAGTTTCAAGAGTCAAAGTTTGTAGAACCTAGGTGCTTTATTATGTTTCTTAGATCCGAGGTTTTCTTTTAATATTTTGGTTGATTCCTAGATTTCGTTTCTCCTATAAATAGAGGACGATTCTCCATTGTAAGATAGATGATTTTGATGAATGAAAATTTGTGAGATTTCCTCTACTTGAGTGAATATCTTCGGAGAGTGGATAACTCCTTTCGGTCTCTTTATCCTTGGAGCGTGGATTACTCCTTGGTGGTGAGCCAAGAAGCCCTTTATCCTTGACTGGTGGTATCTTTAGGTCTTGGTGGTGAGCTTCTCCTATCCCGAAGTCCTTTATCCTTGGCTGGTGGAATCTTTAGGCCTTGGTAGTGAATTTCGTAGATCCCGATCCTCATCCTTGATTGGTGGCGTGGCCTTTACACCTTGGAAGGAGATCGTTCTATCTTATTTTATTTCTGCATTTTTTCCTTCAATTCCATCCTCATACACTCCATTCCATACACTTATCTAGAAAATTCCAAAAAAAGAAAATTACCCGTCCCGGAATCACTCGCCCACCAACGCATCACTGATGAAGTCCATGGCAAACCCTAATCTTGTATATAAAGGAAGCAACGCACGAGTGTATACTCAGGGCATGCAAACAAAGCGAGCACACTCGGATTTCTTGATCAGACCCACGAAGAGAAATTGTTTGGAACTGCCTCTCATGGCTGTGAAAGGCAACAAGATGGGTCCGGGTCTAGTTATGGCTCTTGTGGTGGTCCCAGCGCTGCTCTGTGCAGGAGCCGCAGCTCAATCCGGATGCACCAGTGCGATCATAGGCCTCTCGCCATGCCTCAGCTTCTTGACGGGGAGCTCGTCCACCCCGTCCTCCTCGTGCTGCTCCCAGCTGGCCAGCGTGGTCCAGTCGCAGCCGCAGTGCCTTTGCACGGTCCTCAACGGCGGCGCGTCCTCCCTCGGCATAACCCTGAACCAGACCCTGGCCCTTGCGCTCCCCGGCGCCTGCAACGTCCAGACCCCGCCCGTCAGCCAGTGCGACCGTGAGTTCGAGCGCAAACTGAGTGTGAATTTTGTTGCTTTTTGGGGTTTTTGATGCTTCAACTTGTGTGCAGCTTCCGGCGGAACCGTTGCTGCAGCTGGCTCGCCAGAGAGTTCGCCGAGCAACGTTACAGGTGATACTACTAGTAGTCCCTTTGGCTCATAAGGTGATCATTTCTCCTTTTGATCGTAATAATTCTTCTCTCTTCCTGCTTTTCATGAAAATGCAGGGGGATCCAAAGAAGTTCCATCAACTGCAGGAAGTTCCACCAGCCACGGAATCGCGAAGCTGCCGCCACTTCCTCTCGCAGTGCTCTCGGTCTTCATGGCGACCTTTGGATATGTCCCCATGGCTATCTGAATTTCTACATTCCCCGGCGATGTATAACGCCGAACTATAATTATGTACGTGTAGCCCGCGCGTGCTACACCATATGCATTTCGATCCCTTTGTCGAAGTGTGTGTGCTTGTGCTTGATATGCATTGTATCCCGCTTTACCTATTTCCCCCTCGTTGGTATTGTCATTTCGCCACTATCAATATACTAATATTGGAATACTTGATCTCTTGCTTACTTTCCAATGGTTTCGCCCCCAATTCCGATCTTTAAATTTAGTGGGTCAAGAAATGAAGCTGAGGCATGTCAGTAACCTCTGTTCTTGGACACGCTTTCAAGATGCAGACTGCAGTATTCGCATCTGGTACTTGATAGGACGATCGAAATTCGAAAGCCTAACCTAGCACATAAAAGCTTGATTTCCAAAGTCTCGAGTGTGCTTAAGCGTCTCCTCACGCTCGAAATGGTTCTGTAGTTCGTGCATCGCGATCGACCTTAAGAAGCCGGACGCTTCTATTACCGCGAGCCCGTCAAAGGATCGTATTTTTGGCTAAAATCGACTAGTTTTGTTAAAAACGAGCGTCTTAAAAATTGTCGAAATGGTTCCGTAGTTCGTGCATCGGGGTCGGCCTTATCTTCCCCCTTTGCTTTTTTATCGGTCAATTTACTTCGAGCATTGAAAGATCATCACATCAAGAAGATTTCAATATACATATATACATGCGTACATACATACACATACATGTGTACATGATTCGTTAAGTCTTATCATTCACAGCCAGATGTTGTTTTGGTTTATTGTATATGGCCCCAAGAAGGGTCGATATTCGCACTGTTTAAGACGCTCGTGCGCCCAAAAGGAGCGGGCCCCCCACTCGGCAATTTTTAAATCTTTATCTTTTTTTCTCTTCTTTTCTTATTTTTGGTCAGAGATTTTTAAACGTTTTTAATCTTTTACGTGGTGGGGGATTGTTTGTTTTCATTTTTTTTTTTGTTTTGTTTTGTTCATTTATGAACTTTTCGACAGTTTTTCCAAATCGAAGCGCACCCCCGCGAACAAACAAAAACAAACACAAGACGAGCAACATACGCATGGTGCCAAAAAGACTTCGAGTTTATCTTATGTTTTCCCTCGAAGGATGGACGGACGGTCGGTCCTGCAAATCGGGGCTGCTTTCCTTCCGAGGATTCCGGCCGTGTCCCCCTCCTCCCCTCCCCTGCGGATACCTCCCTCTTCCGGGTCTTCCCTTCCTTTATAGATCCCATCCCCCCACGTATTTTCGAGGAACGAGACAAGACATAAATCGAATGAAACCTGTATAGATTTAACGAACGAAAGTGGTTCGAATCTAGTGAAAGCTTAGGCCGAATCACTCCCCCCACATCTACTTCGTTTGCGCCTATACATGCCGTTACAAGTAAGAGTGATCAGTTCCCAGGCGGTCTGACTAGAGAGACCGATGCCCCCTTGGAAATGAACTAGACTGAGCCGACCGGTCCGGTCTGTTCTATTTATATTCATTTGTTTTACATTTATCGTTAATGTTCAGGACGAAATTGAATATTTTTTTATTATAATTAAGGTGTTCCTACAATCGGTAAGTTACGCAGATATTTTTCTAATTTGTGGCAAAATTTGGTTGGTCGTTCTAGCCTCGAAGGGCCTTGGAAATAGATTAGGATTTTTGTAAACATATTTAAAAAGAAATAAGAAATAAAAAATATCGATCCAATTAGGGGAACCGGATCGAAATTCACCGGTTCCAATTCTATGGAACCGGGAATTAGATTGGTGCCCCCGGGACCTTCTCACCCCTACTTACAAGAAGGATTACTCGAGCGATCGAAGAGCTTGCCACGAACCCCCACGGATTACCCCGGGCCCGTTTGGCGCGGACGGAATTGTGCAGTAGCCGTGCCATGTCGAAGCGGGTGCTTCGGAGCCGCACGTCTTCGGGAAGTTCCGCACCGTGGCTGCAAATTATTTATGTACGTTGTAAAGACTGCTTCGAGATTATCGTACGCGTGTATCATAACGACGAAAAAGAAACCCACAACATAACCATCGCAGAATCGTCACGGAGGTGGTTTTGCGAAAGCTTTGAAGTTGTTAGCGCCTTGAAAAGCTGTCGTGAAAAATATTTTAGCTGCCAAGAAATAAATTACACGGCCTAACTTTTTCTTTTTTTTTTGGGTCGGAATACACAGCCTTACTTGAAAGCCCTACCGAAGACGTTCGGAAGACCGAAGACCCTCCATTTGTCGCAATTTTATCGCGATTTTATTTTTTTTTTATTTCATGTATTGCCGGCTACTACTTCTTCTTTCTTTTTTTTATAAAAAAAAAAAATTACCGGCAAAAAAATTTTTTTTTTTTTGGGGGGTGGAGTTTGTGTGGATTGAGGGAGGAGGCAAAGGTGCGAATCTAACGGAGGGGAGGGAGGGAGGGAGAGAGAGAGAGAGAGTAGGATGCGCTCGTGCGGTGTGCATCCTGACAAATGTTCCCCCCCGCGGCACCGACAAAAACAATATAAATTATCTTGCTTTATTCTATTATAATTTTCGAAATTATTTTCAATTTTGCCCCCCCATAATAAAATAAGAAGACTTGACTTCCCCCACAATCTTGCACTCTCTCCAAAGGAGGGGAAAAAATAAAGCGTAAGTTCCGTAAAATCAATCGTACATATGCAAGCGGAATTTATGTTCTCAAAAAGGGACGATCTTTTTCGATCTGGACCCCGGATCCTATCGCACTTTGAACTTAGGCCATTGGGCGACAATTGCCTTGGGAGCCGGTCGTGGGTCGCCGAATTTCGATCGGACAGGCGAAAATCGGCATTTGCAACATTCAAAAACGAAAACGTAGTAGGTAAAGATGTAAAAACTATTAGGTTATGAGCGGTCCAAATCAGCTCGTCAAACATCGGAAACTATGTAGAACGTGAGGATGTTGATTGGTATACACATCATAAGATAAGGCCGACTTTGTAAAACAAAAGGAAGGTCGATGGGTCATATGCCTGATGTAGCTAGCAAGGATCACCTAGAGGGGGGTGAATAGGTGATCTTAAATAATTTTTATCAATTTATGCGGAAATGAAAGATCACAGTTGAGTCTGAATAAACTTCAGATTCAAGACAGATTATATAGACAGTGCTCTTGATGTGCAGTATGTAAATTAAGAGATAAGGGATAGAAAAACTGCATACAAGTTTATAGTGGTTCGGCTTATAGCAAGCCTACGTCCACACTCCCACGCTGACAGCCTACCGGCTGGATTTCACTATGTAATCAAGAGGAATTACAGCTTTTGAGTGACAGCACTCTTGTGTATGATAGGACTCTCTATCTCACACAATCACTCTTACAAAGTATCCCTCAAGATCTTAATTTTTTGCTCAGAAAGACAAGAGTAAATGATCGGAGTCTGCTTAGACTTTGGACTTGATGATTCTTGATTCTGTTCTTTCTTCTGCTGCTCGTTGATCTCCTTAAATACTCCTCTACTTCCAAACTAGCCGTTGGACAGCTTTCAGAGGATCATCTTCCAATCTTCACCTTGAACAGATTTGTATAAAAAGGATTGAGTAACAGTTAAATGACAGATTCTGAATTCCGCTGATTATGGTCGCCCATACAATCAGAATCTTGGTCTCCATAAGTAGAGTTTTATCCGTTGTAATGCATACTTATCGTAATGTTTGATTGTCAATCAATTTGATTGAGATTGAGACAATCAAAACTTTCCTTCTGTGAAATCCATACCAGATCACTAGCTGTTATTTTTGTTCTGAGTTCTGCGTCTGCGTCTGAAGAACTTCTGCGTCTGCGTCTGAATAATTTCAGCATCTGCGTCTGCGTCTGTGTCTGAAGAACTTCTGCGTCTGCGTTTGAATAATTTTAGCATCTGCGTCTGCATCTGAATAAATTCTGCGTCTGTGTCTGCGCCTGAATAATTTCTGCGTCTGCGTCTTAGAACTAAGATTATGTGTGTCTTCAATAAAATATGAACTTCTTATTTTGCCAGCTTGTAAAGTCTGAAAAACTTCCTTCTGAGCTTCCAGAATATATATACATACCTGGAATAAAATAGTTCAGAATAAGTATCAGATTTATAATAACATGGAAGGTTTTGTCAACTTTAAAATTAATAGGAGTTTTCCTCAACAATCTCCCCCTTTTTTATGGTGACAAAAACTTCCTTGCAGATTAAATCAATTTGAAATTAATTTGAAATAAATAAGCATATTAAGCGCATGAAGCACAGATTGAAATTGAAAGAGCAAACTCTATTGAGATCTGTGTCTTTTTTTCCTCTGTATATAACCTGCATATGATCCGCATATTTAATGTTAGTATGGCAAATCTGCATATGATTTCTCCCCATTTTTGTCATCAGCAAAAAATAATAATAGAGAGAATAAAGCATTGATATAAATTAACCAAACAGTCTAACAAGAAGAATTGTTAAAATATTACAGACCAATTGAGAAAAAGATGGTTTTTGAGACAAATGTTAAAAAGCAGGCTTTTTTTTGGATGGGGTTCGAATGAGTTGAAAGTTTTCCAATATGGAGATAGCTTCCTCAATCTTCGAAGAACATTCACCCATAGCTTTGTCCATGTTGGTTGAGCACAGAGCAATAGCTTCCTCAAGTTCTGCTTTATCTTGTGCTGCCTGAAGACGTTGAGTCTTGTTGTTTTCTTCAACAATTGTCTGTAGATTCTTCATGTCTTGTTCATGTGCAACTTGCTTATCTTTAATTTCGAGCAGAAGAGTGAGAATGGTCTGATTTTCTGAGGGCTGTTCCTGGACATTGGCTTGTTCAGACTGATCGAACCCAGTTGCTGCTTCTGGTGGAATCTCCCCCTGAACAGGTGCATGGTCTGCAGAAACATGTTCTTCAGGAATTGTTTCTGAAACCTTTGAAGTTGGTTCAGAAACATGTTCTGGACCATCAGTATGTCCTATTTCAAGGTGCTCTGCTTCATCACTTTCATCTTGCAGAAGAATTTTTCGTTTCTTCC